CTGGATCTGATGCTGGAGGATATGGTTTAGGGTTTTCAGCAGAGTGGCAGGTTAATGGTTGGACTCAATGATTTTAGAGGTCTCCTCCAGCCTTGATGATTCTTTGATTCTATCAGCTTATAATTTTACCTGTGAAGTCTTGCACCATTGTGCTCTAAGCTTGTCCTTCTCTCCACTGACATTTGAGAGAGGACTTTATAATATATCTCTGCATTTTCTGTGGTAATCCAGGCCACTGCTTTTTGTTATTTTCTTTAAAAGACTGTCATCTTGCTTGTTCTCTGTAAAAGCAAGTTAATCAATAGGACAGTATTGTAGAGAAAATTGTTAACATCGACTTTGTGATTCAGCACACTTCAAATTAACTTTTGCATTTTCTACAGTGTTTCTGGGCCTTTGTGAACAAAACTCTGAAGAACATCTTTGAAAGGCCAAGTGGTTCTGAAACGATGTCTGGTTTTGAAACAGTGCCATGTAAAGACCCATTGAGTTTTAGCTGGTGGATTATTAGTCATCTAGCATCACTCTACCAGTTTGACCGTAATGGAAATCTAGATGAAAAGGTAAGTATGCTTTCTCCTAAATGCCTAAAAGTTGTTGTCACTGATTTTGATATCTTTGGTTATTTTTTGTTGACAGAAAACAATTCCTGTTGTAACACAGGAATTTTCAGACTCCTTGAAGTCTTTTAAGGTTGGTGGTGTTTAGATGAGCTTTGTACAAGTCAGTAAACATTCCAGGAGCCCCTGACATATTCATGTTATACACCAGATATTCAGTAGACTACTGCATTAAGGAAGCTTGAAATATCCCAACTGGTTAGTAGCACATATACTTAATGATGCAGCATATGTTTTAAGACTGTCTGCCTGCAGCATGCATGCTTCACTGTGTTTGTAGTTTTAGGAACTGAACACATTAGGTTGTGCTGTACGAGGTATAAACCTCAAACATCGACTGTGTAATTATTAATGCCACCTTTCTTTATTTCTTTCAAGTGTTAGCTCTGCTCTGGATAAATTTCCATCTGTCTAATTGCATTTCCTTTGCATCACAACAATGGCATGATAAGGTGCATCTATATATGTGTATAGAGCTTGATTCATATATTGGTGTGCTACTAAGAGACATTTGTCTAAACTGTTGAAATCAAGCTTTGGTTTAGGAAATTCTGGCAGTAAGTTGCAAGATACTTCCTTTTGAAAATGGTCTTGGATTTTTCTTCTGGCTCTAGATATGCTGGTTTGGGCTGAAGTGGAATTAACTTTCTTCCCAGTGGCTACTATGGGGCTGTGTTTAGGATCTGTGCAGAACACAGGGTTGATAATGCAGAGATGTTTTTGTTGTTGCTGAGCAGAGCTCACACAGAGCCAAGGCCTTTGCTGCTTTCCTCACTGTCACTCTGGTAGGGGAGTTGGGAGTGCATGGAAGATTGGGAGGAGACACAGCTGGGACAGGTGACCCAAACTGACCAGAGGGATATTCCATACCATAGGACACCATGCTCAGTATATAAAGTGGGAGGACATCTGGAGTGATGGTGTTTGTCTTCCCAAGGAACCATTACACATGATGGTCCCTGCCCTTCTGGAGATGCTGAACACCTCCTGATTATGGGAAGCAGTGATTGAATTCCTTGTTTTGCTCTGCTTGTTTGTGCAGCTTTTGCTTTCTCTATTAAACTGTCTTTATCTCAACCCATGAGTTTTTCTAGCTTTTATCCTTCTGATTCTCTCCCCCATCCTGTTGGTGGGGGATTGTTTGAGAGGCTCTATGGTTCTTGGTTCACAACACTAGAGCCAATCCCCAGTTAATCAGGTTCTTGTCTGTGGATGTCATTGTGAAGAACTTGGCATTACAGAAGGCATGGTCATAAGCTGAGACAGGGGAGAGTCAGATTAGATGTTAGGAGAAATGTTTTCCCTGTTAGGGTGTTCAGGCAGTGGAATAGATTGCCCAGGGAGGTGGAGGAGTCACTATCCCTGGAAGTGTTTAAGAGGTGTCTGGATCTGGCACTGGAGGATATAGTTTAGGGTTTAGGGGTTTCAGCAGAGTCACAGGTTAATGGTTGGACTCGATCTTAGAGGTGTCTTCCAACCTTGATGATTCTGTGAGAGAAAAGGTTATTCCCAGGTTGAATACAGAAGTCAGTGTGAAGCAGACATTTGTACTGGGTTTCTTACATTTAATGCCCTAATCCAAGTGCAGTGATACTGTTTACTTTGATCACTGGATTTTACTCCTTGTATCTCATACTGATAGATACTATGTATTTAGCCTCATGAGAAATTTTTTTTTGCCCCAGGCACTATATTATTTACATAAGCCAAAAGAGATGTAGAGTGGAAAAAAAGGATTGCTGTTGTTCTTATTTTAAAGTAGGAATCAGAGATGCAGTGACAGGAAGTGACTTGCCCAAGATTAAATGATATTTTTTCCTTGGAGCCCACCTGGGAGAAGTGAATTTCCAAGTCTTCATTTGTAAATCATGGGACAATCCTGTGCACTCTCCTCTTGATATTTCTAGTAGCCTCTATGTTCAAACTGTTAGCTGTGCTTTGCATTTCTGAGTGTGACTGAGTTTGTCCAGGGATCCCTGTCCTTGCATCCAAAAATCTGTAGCATCAGTGCCTTTTCACACACCACAACAATGTAATCTGTCCTAGGTAGTTGTTGGTAACCATTTCTTTAGGTCCTGTCCCCCTCCCCAAATTACAACCTCAAACATTCTTTGAACATTATAAGGTAAAGTAGTGTGTGATGTAAATTTGTGAAGCCAGTGGAATTACATTGGGGCTCAAAACAGGGCTCCTGTTTTGTTGGTTAAACATCTGATGCTATAGCTTCGTGACACATGCTTTCTTTTAATTAACTGTGATCAGAGGTGGGAGGGCGATGTGTCATAATGTTGGTTATTCATGTGCTCTCTAGCAAAAATTGCCTCTAAGCCTATGTCATCTGTGGAAGATTTTCAATTTTTTAATGTGGTCTGCATGGCCTTGAGGTTGTTAGGAAAGCTTTTAAAATTCTAAATAGGTTTCAGACTTGCTGCTTTTTTATTTTTTCCCCCTTTAGCTCATATAACGTAATTTTGAATATGCAATGATTCATATATGCTGAATTTATTGTTCACACACATGAAACCATTTTTTTAAGCTAGATAACTTTGGCCAGGTTTCTTAGAGACTCTGTTCTGAGGGATGTACAGTACATCTCTCTTTCCATATCCCCCCACTCAGGTCCCACTTCATTCTTCTGAAAAGCAGGATTTGTACATTTAAAACCCAAATGGGACCTGATGAGAAAATTTGCTACTTCTGAACATTGCAGGGGTCAATTTCAATATCCTGTGGGCTAGGGTAATATAGGCAGAGTTACTTGAGGCTAAGAATTCTTGCATTTGAGTAGAATAAGCTGAAATGACTACATGGCAAGATATGCAAACATGGACTTCCAGCTGAGAAGCCTAGTATGGCTTTTTCATGTAGTCAGCTGTTAGTCCTTGCAAAAGTTTCTTCCTGCAAATCCAGAGGGTCACAGCTCAAGTTTTTGGCTTTTGCTGCTCTTTTATGCATCATAAATTTTCCAGAATATGTTGATTTTTAGGACTTTTAGGAGGTGGAGGGAGAATTTTTGAAGCCACCAGATTTGGAGTAGGAGAGCTGGAGGTTCTACATATTCTCTGACAAGAATGTATTGTTAACAGTTGCCATGCCATATTGCCAATGAAGTAGGGAATACTGTTAGGATGTAAATCTATAGGGATTTGAATGAAGCAAGTCTGTTAAAATACAGAGACAATCATGGCTAAAAAAGAGTGCAGCAGGTGGTTGGTGTCATTCTTTCCTGAGTTTGGGCTGAACCTAGATGCACTCTTGTAATCAACTCCAGTTGGTGTCAGGAGTTTGCCCTAGATTACTCCAGGATCTTGTAAGGTGATCTGCATACTGCAGATGAGCTGGAACCTTGGCAATACACACCTATTGCATAAAACATGTCCTTGGACAATGGGACTGCTAAAAACATGTTCTGAGCAGGCTGATCCAGACATTCAGTGGTCTCATAGCCATTCAGCATAACTCCCTTAATATCTACTCATTGCTGATAGATCTGACCTTTGAGCCCTTGATTAGCTTTACTCAGGGTGTGCTGTAGAGCCATGCCAGTGTGTAGATATTCACATAACATCAGGCTCTAAAATACAGCAGTCAAAAATCTGATGGCAGTACTAGCCAGAGCTGTCTGGGAATGCTGGTTGTGCACTCCTGGCTTTTACTCATGGTTGAAGTGCTGCCTTTACTCCTTGGCTATTTGTTGATGCAGTGACTTCTGACAGGATGCTAGCTCTGGTTTCATGATCCAAAGCCTTTGGTATCAATAACAGCTCAAATCCTCTTTACTGCCCTAGGCATGATATGTCCTCTGCTGTTTTGGCACAACTATTTGTGTCCCTGTTCTATGACCTAGGTCAGATCCTACTCCCTTTTTCATTCTTTCTTCCCCTCCTAAAGCTCTGGGTGTGTTCACTGTTCTGGTTCACGCTGTGTCCCACAAACAGAAGTAGCAGAACATCTGAGCAGTGGCATGCTACAGCTGTGAGGGCAGAAAGAACAGCTGACAGGATGATGAGGGAGAAGCAGTGGGAACTCCTTAATTGATACAGCTCAAGTTCCTGAGTTGTGAACTCACAGCTTGGGTGTAACTCTCTGTAGATCTGTCCTTTCATATTTGTTCCTTAAACAGTCTACAGACTGTGACTTGCTGCCACTGGCTATCTTTCAGAATTTTCTTTCTCCTGTTGTGCAAAAATGTAAAGCTACCAAGTAGTCAAGTTGTGCTACTTCAGTATTAGTTCATCTTTAAAATGATCTTGGTGTTCTCTGGAGTTCTGTGTGGAACTGTCCCCAAGTCACAGCATTAACTAGGTGGTCAGTAGCAGAGGAGGATGGAGCACTGGAAAGTAATTATATTTCAATTGCCAATGCATAAAATGCTCTTGAAGTTCTGTACCAACATTTAAAGGACAGCAATCTGCAGAATAATCTAAAAGGCTTAACAGTTGTTGATAGTGTTGGTAAGTAAGGTAGGACAATGGTGAAAGTACTGTGTTCACACACCCAGTTACCTACACAAGCTATAAATTCAACTGAGTATAAGAGGTGTTGGTCTTCCTAGAATTCTATGTTGGCCTTGTTGCTTTTCTTTTTTTTCCCCTGAGAAAGTGGCCTTAGTTGCAGAGATTTCTACCCTCTTCTTTCCCAATTTGCCAAAATATGCGTGGGATTTTTTTCTCTTTTTAATATACTTTGCCATGTAACTGTTTTTTACTTCACTAGCATGGATTGGTTGATTGAAATGGATCTCTCTTCCCAACATAAAGAATATTAATTATGGACCATATTTGAACTGCCCTGCCCAACTCCTTACTGGATTGGCCAAACCAATCCTTAATGGTTGTCCTGGGAAAAATGAGTTAGAAATGTTTTTCACATTGAAAATTAAAACAAACCCAAGAAAATGTGACATTGTTTCTTTTTTTTCCTTCTTACCCTCTATATCTTCCTTTTTATAGAACATTCAAGAAAAACTGTATGAAATATTGCTTGTACTAATGAAAAATGCCTGAATGTTTTGCTTCTCTATTAAAAGTGAAGGTTGAGGTTGCAGAGGAGTGAGTTAAAGCAGTTCAAGTTGCATATGCTTTATTTCTGTCTGGTTTTTGAGGGCTAATTTTTAGGAGAGATATCAATTACACTCATAGAACAAAAAAAGCTGTTTTCAGTGTTGACTACAATGTGCTGTCATGAATTGAAATATTTCTGGAAATATTTTGCCTGCTTATTTTCATCTTATTGCATAATGCTTCCTGTAAGGAATATAGATGCTATTTCACATTGATGATAATTATTTTTTCAGAAAAAGAAGGAATCCAATTGGAAATTTGTGGAAGAACTCCTTAAAAAATCCACTGATGCTCAAGTAAGTGTGTAAAGGAAGGAATAACGAACAAGTGTCAGGGATGCTTTCAGGAAAAGACAGTGCATGAAACAAAGTCCAACTAGCAAGAGTATTTTTGGAATCCTAGTGTTTTCACTACTGGTAAATGAACATCCTTGATGTAGCTGAACTATGGCAGTATACAGTTTCCTTCTTGTTAGCAGTTACACTTTCTTTAAAGTGGTTGTGCTTGATGCTGAATTGTCAGGTAAAGGCAAAAGATAATTATCCTGGAAGGGTAGGTATATGGCTACTCAGACAAGATGTATTCAGAATAAGAACTGGGTGCTTAGAAAATGTAAACCAGATGCTGAATGTAAGGATATCAAGTTGAGGAGACATGATGAAGGAGATAGTCAGTAGCATTGAAAATTCAGCTATATCCTCATCACAGCGGGAAGGTGACTTGCCTTGCTGAGCAATTTGTCTTACAGGCTTGAATCAAACTCTTACTGATAAGGTTCTAGTTTCTGAGCACTCATTTCATACCTTATCATTTTTCTTTCTGCAGAACTGTTAATGCAATGCTTCATGGCCCAGAGGTCAGAATTGACCTCCTTTTAAAATGCTTTTAAATTTGCTGTTCATCACATTTTTAAATATGTTACGTTGTAGCTCTGTTAATTTGTTCTGAAGTTGCATGGTGCAAATTGCAAATGTTGTATTAAGGACACCTATAAAAATAATTTCTTGATTTGTGTACATTTAAGGCAAGAAGAAACATGTTTAGTTTTTTATTTGGTCTCAAATCAAATGAAGAGAAATTCTGCAAAGTTCTGTTATTGAAAGCAGAAGAGGAATAAGTTCTTCTGGTTTGTAATTATTATTGCTGCCTTGCCCATGCAGTAGCAACAACTGTAGCTGAAGCTGGAATGTGGAACAATACTTGTTACAACTATAGTATTTACAAGGAAATATTTCACAGAATCACAGAATAATCAGAGTTGGAAGGGACCCTTGAGGGTCATGTAGTCCAACTCCTGGCCCTGCAATCTGGGCAATGTGTTCAGTGCTCAGTGACTGCACAGGAAAGAAGTTCCTCTTCATATTCAGGTGGAACTTCTCGTGCATCAGTTTTTGCTGTTCCCTCTTGTTTTATTGGTTTCCCCCACTGAGCAGAGTCTGATCATCCTCTTGGCACTCCCTGTTCATGTCCTTGAATACATTACTGAGGTCCCTCTCAGCCTTTCCTCATCAATGAGTTGCTCCTCAAGTCCCTTCATCATCTTCGTTGCCCTTTGCTGGACCAGAAGGATCACAAAAAAGGGCCATTTATTGGGAAACTAGTTACATGAGGTGTTTCCTACTTCTGTTCTAATTTAGAATTCTCTTATTGGGCTAATAACAAACATAGAGCTGGTTTACAATTCCATTTGTACTATAAAATGAAAATTGTTGTAATAGGAATATTACCATAGCTGTACTTGTGTATGAGGCAACATCAAACTGACTAAATATATGGATTGTCAGTGTAAGATGAATTTGTGTTTATGAAATTTTATTGTGAGAATCAAAAGCTTTTTAGTTCATAAGAACTAATAACAGTCTGTCTTATTAGCTTTTTCATTTTAGCAAGTAAGTGCTTCATGTTGTTTCGTTTCTGCCTCGTACTTTTACTGTACTTTTTTTTTTTGTTTAATTCTACTTTAAAAGAGATAGAGGAGTGTTTGTTGGATTTCTAGGAAACCAATTTTGTTACTACAGTAGGAGGTCATAAGAGAAAAATGTTGTGTTTAGATAGTACTATCATTTTGATAGTATCTGGTGTTCCTCCCTTCTGCGATAAATTAAAAGCTGACTTCCTCAAGAGTTCTGATAATATTTCCAGCAGTGCAGGAGACCATTTAAGCAAAAAAGCAATGAGAGAATCCATTAATCCCAGGGATATTTGAAGTCTGGAGGACTCTTTCATATTAAATTTGTGATAAAGCCTTGGGTACTATCTTGGTTTTGGAAACTGTTCTAAAACTATTGTCGGACAGATAAGTAATGGTTCAAATTGAAGCCACTCACAACATCATGTTTATTGTTGAATTAATTTAACTGAAGCAGTCACTGTTTGTTGAATTAGATCCTAAACATAATCCTAGGCATAAAATACAGCTTGAAGACTAAGCTTTCCCTATCTGAAGGTTGTGTGTTTTCGTTTGCGACATCTTTTGCAGCTGGGGAGATCCCTCTAGAGAAATAGATATGCTCAGCTGCAGTTTTTTTGTTTCACATCAAGACTGCTGCTTTTATTCATGATAAAAATAGCAGCTGTTCTGTGTCTTGTTTTTTGGTGCAAGATTGTTAGGTTTGGGGAAGTCTGTTGATTGAGTAGCTAGTTATGTCATAAATAAAAAACTACTTGACTATCACCTTTCATTTGTACATATTTTTACTCCATTTGAATCATTTTGTGTATTTTTAATGAGTCTCTACTGGAGAGTTACTTTCCTCTTTCAGTGGGGTTTGTATGTTAATCATAATGTCTTACATATATTATTTTCTATAAGTGAAAATGTCTTTTCAATTTAGAAGTGGTTTTAGAGATGTTCCACTTTAGAAACCACATGCCCTATATTAATTTTTCATGAGAACAGAAGGCAAACATGATTAGAAGTTATTGTAGGTGATTGTGTAATTGTTTACAGTGTTCTGATAAAGGGTAGCAAATCAAGTTTTCCATGTGAATGTATAGCCAGGTAGAGATGAGTTAATGAGTGAGGCTCGTTTGTGTGGCATGGGAAACGGGGAAAAAAAAAGCAGATCTAAGACATAGTAAGCCACAAGAAGTAGCATTGTGGGTAGGAGCAGAAGTCATAGAACCATAGAATGGTTTGGGTTGGAAGAGGCCTTAAAGATCATTTAATTCCAGTCCCTCTTCCATGGGGATTGCTCAAAGCACCATCCAAACTGGCCTTGAGCTCTTCCAGGGATGGGGCATCCACAACTTCTCTGGACAATGTGTGCCAGTGTCTCACCACCCTCAGAGTTAAGAATTTCTTCCTAATATCTAATCTAACCCTACAATCTTTCAAGTTTAAAGCCATTCCCCCTTGTCCTATCACTATATGCCCTTGTACAAAGTCCTGCTCTTCCAGTAACAGGTACTTAAGGAAAGAGGTTTTCAAACAAAAATAACTCCCTAAAGAAACAAAACAAAAAAACCCCAACAAATCTCAACACAACCTAATGCTATGTTTTTCTATTACCTGGCACAGGTGACTATTTACTTAGTTCATTAATTTAAGCATTTTCTGAGCTGGTTGAGCTTCGGACATAATTCAGGATCTACCACTGTAATATGAATTGAAGATAAATATTGGGAAGTATTAAAGTAACAGAAAGGCCAACTGGCATTGCTTTGGCATAGTCTACAGACTTTGCTCACATTATCCTGGTGCCTAAACACAGAGAACATGACAAGTTTGGTAACAGCACCCATGGAAATATAAAGGCATTCTAAAATCAAAGAATCATGGAATGATCAAGGTTGGAGGAGACTTTTAAGATCATCGAGTTCAACTATTAACCTGTCACTGCTGGAACCTCTAAACCAGATCCTCCATGGTCAGATCCAGACACCTCTAAAACACTTCCAGGGGTGGTGACTCCACCACCTCCCTGGGCAATATTCCAGTGCCTAACACCCTAACAGGGAAAACATTTCTCCTAACATCTAATCTGACTCTCCCCTGGCTCAGCTCAGCCATCCCTCTACTCCTCTCCCTGCAGCCATGGCAGGACACACATCCCCCACCTCTCTCCAACCCTGTCAGGGAGTTGGAGAGATCCATGAAGTCACCCCTGAGCCTCTTCTCAAGCCTAAATAAGCCAAATTCCCTCAGCCCTTCCTCATATCATGTGTTTTCCAGACCTTTTACCAGCCTTACTATCCAGGATGTTAGCAATATAACCATGTAGCAGAGGTTTGAGAAGGAATGTGATTCACAAAGAAAATTTTCCCCTGTTTGGAATATTGCACAGGGAAACATGAGTTCTCAGGTGGCTGCATCTTCCTTGTGTCGATCATGACACATGGGACTTGGGTGACAGAAAGGCTTTAAGTGTTCAGCTAATTCATGCATTCAGCATGGCTAGTGCCCCATTTACTGTTTCCTGAGGTGCTGCATCGTGCAGTCATGTTTCAAGTGAGACTCAATGTGTTGAGTTGGCTGTTACCTTAAAGTGTTTACAGCTTTGTGGGTGCCTGGAGAAAAGAAGGTTCAGGATGATCTTATCACTCTCCACAACTAATTGAAAGGAGCTCGTAGCAAGGTGGGGACTGGTCCCCCAGCCAACTCGTGTCAGGACAAGAGGACATAGCCTCCAGCTGTGCCAGGGGAGGTTCAGGCTGTACATCAGGAGGACTTTCTTCATGGAAAGGGTTGTCAGACATGGGAACAGGTTGCCCAGGGAGGTGGTGGAATCACCATCCCTGGAGGTGTTCAAGAAATGACTGGACATGGCACTTAGTGCCATGGTCTAATTGACGAGGTGGTGATCAGTCAAAGGCTGGACTTAATGATCTCAGAGTTCTTTTTCAGCCTAAATGATTGTGTGATTCTGTGATGAACTATTACATTGGCTGGATTGCAGGATGCAGTTGTGAGCTTTTACATTCTGGTTCGTTGCTTGTATTAGCAGATGCATTTACTCAGCAGTATATAATTACAAATGATTTTTGTATTAGGAAATTGCTGTTAATAGTCTGGTAGCATTGGGTTAATGTATGGACAAGGTGATGTTCCCCTCCTACAATAAATTTGTTGCTTCCTTTCCAAGGCTGGTGTGTTAGAGGAACACTTACGAATGCATCTTCAGTGCTGTTTAACTTTGTGTAATTTCTGGGACTTGAACCTATCTGTTGTCACCATACTCTGGGATTATTACAGCAAGAATCTGGTGAGTAGATGAATATATAAAAATATCAACCTACATGTGGGCAGTCCTTGATTTTTACTGGTTAATTCTGATTTTCCTGTAGCCAAGGCTGATTTCTGTGCTTCTGTAAAACTACCTAGTCAATGGCAGTAACTCTGAATTTGCTGCATTTATTTAATGAAATCAGGTTGAAATTTATGTTGTGGTCTATTAAATTCTGTGGCAATTATTTTTATTTTTACTTGTCATTAGGACTACTGGTTTTAAGATCTTGTAACAACACCTGGCATAGAGTTACAATGCATTTTTATTTTTGAGTTGTGGTAGGAGAAATATGACTAACCAGCACAAAACCTGCAGCATTTTGGTTGCTTCACGAATACTGTTGAGTTTAGTGGTTTGCAGCACAGAGAGGACAGTCCTCATGCAGGGAGCAGAGAGCCTGAACCACATTCATCTAGGATGTGCCTGATTTTGGGGGTGATCAAGACCTCCTGAAGAAGGTGTCCCATGTCCGGGTGAAGGTGGCAAAGAGATGCTGCAGTGCCCTGTGTCCAGATAGGAGCGCCTTTATAAGGTTGCAGTGAGCCTGCTGCTGAGAAAGGAAAAGATGTGAAGGTGCTGCTCAGGTTAGGAGATCAGTGGGGGATGGGAAGCAAAAATACTGTATTTGTGAGCTGTCAATAAAGATAGGAGAAGTCGTGGCTACCTGGGCAAGCTGCTGCGTTGGAGCCTTTCAGCATATCCTTTTTTTGTGTGGGAAGTATTGCATCTTATGCCTTTGGAATATTAGCATTTATTGTTATTTATAATCTTTTCACTTTGCATTTATTCTTTTAGAACAGTTCCTTTACTATCCCTTGGCTTGGTCTGAAGGATCTGGCAATTATCAGTAAGACTTCGTTGTCCATGCTTGAGTTGGCGAAGCGTTGCTGCTGTGAACAGCAGATCCCTTCTCTGTTCAATTCCAGCAACAGTTACTTCATTTTTCTCAGCATTTTGGCACGCATGATGAAAGAAGAGAACAATGGTGTGCATCCTTGGAAGCAAATTAAAGGACGGTACGGCCACTGTTGAGTTGATTTCACTTTGTAGGAAGTGTAGTGAGTCAATGGCTCCTCCAGCCATGTGCAAGGTGGGAGGTTGCTGTGGCCATGAGAAAGTAAAGGGGATGAAGGATCCAGGGTGATTCATAATTTGAAGAAAGCAGTTGTTCCCTGAAGTTTCTGTTGCCAGCTGAGGCCATGACTAGGTCCAAGAGCTGGGTCCAAGAATCACCTTGGCATCCATAGTCTGTGATGATTTACTTTGTCCCCCTGGCCAGGAATTTGGTGCACTGGCAACCTATGCAGTGGTAGAACCCTGTTGTCAGGCAGGTAATGTAATTAAAGCACAGAAATTATACCTGAGCTGCATGTAAGCCATGTGTTTATTGTCCAAGAACAGGCAGACTGGCACTTGCTAGGCCTGCAATTTCATTTGTATTTTCATTTGCTTTTCAATGGTTTCCAGAATTTTTCACAAATTTTTTCTTTGGAATTAATTTTGAAGTATGCTAATCAAGAAGTTCAGACAGTCATGATATAAAAACCCTATATATGCTCTAAATCAAACTCTTGATGTTTTATATGCTTATTTAATCCATATGGATTTTATTATAGTAATGAGATTGTACTAATGATTACAAGTGCTAAGTTCTAAACTTATTTCCATTAGATGTAGAAGGCTTAGAATTTAGTTTAGGGTTTTGATTCTGATCTTTTACAAATAGATTTTATTGCTAATAAATTTAATTAAGATGTTATTAAGCATTAGTAAAATCTTCATATATGCCAGTAATAAATAAATAAATAAATGCCCATGTGTATGCATAACTTACAAAGTTATGTGGTATGTTTCTACCAAGAAAGAAGGATCATCTTGGCTATCAGAAAAGGAAAATATACTTAATGGCTATGTACACTTTACAAGTTGTTACAGTCAGTAAAGTTTGGGTTTAAAAATCACTACGACTACATAGAAACCAATATGTTTTTGGCTGCTGTATCAGTGTCTTGCTTTACTTCATAGTTTTAATTAGCCTTCTCTGTTCTGACTGAAACCAAATTATATTTACATTTTTGTGCTATTATAGCTTGTTACTTTCCCTAATTTAAGAGGGGGAATAATAATACACAGCACACAGTGCATCAGTCTGCTCAACCAGTATTCATCATTTCTACCTTGAAAAAATCAATTACCCAAGTAGCAAAATTTAACAGCCTACAGCTATGATTTTGGGATGAACTCTGTTTTCAGCAGCTAACCAAGCATTAATTGATGCATGAAAAACCTAAATGCCTGTCAGTAGTAATTTACTATGAAACAACATTAATTGGATTTGCTGTAATTTTTGGTGGCTAGATTTGATAACCTCAGCACCATTTCCAACTATTTTTCCAGGTGACAGATTAGGAAAACAGCATTTATGGATGTTTAACTACTGTACGTGGAACTTACTTTAGATGAAGAATTAAGGGTATACCCAAGGTTTTAAACACACAAGTCAAAAATTTAAACAAGCCATTTTCAACTTACTCCTCTTTTATAGGAATGGTGATGTTTATTTAACAGTCCAGATTCAAGCAAAGGTCACAGGAAAGATGTCTATGTAAAATCTTTCTGCTTTTTGGCAACTCATTTAAAGTTCCAAAGTAGCAGTGTGTGTCACCATCAGCTATGTGTGATTTGAGCACTGTCCTATAAGCAATACAGATAAAGTTACTTGATATCTTCCTTGTGGAGAGAGGTTTCCAAATGGCTCAGTTTCCATCTTTTCTTCCAAACTTGTAGTCTACAGTCCATACAGTAGATGTGCAATACAGGTTGATACAGATTTTGGTGTGAAACACTGTGGAGCAGAGGAATTTTCCATTGGAAATCTTCCTCTCCTTTTTAATCTAGTGTTGGTTAAATAGGTGACACCTTGATCACAGAACTGTGGAGGTATAACAGTAGCTGATTTCCACATGGAAATGAGTGAGTTTCTAGGGAAGATGCTGGAGTTCAGGAATGGTGAACTGTTGCCAAGAGATGCCATTTGGCAGCTTCCTTGCCTAGCAGCCCTCATGGGCTGAACTTGATTGATTTGAAGGCATGGTGTGGAGGACAACCATCACAGCTGAAGTACAGAGTCCACCCATAACATCTGCTCAACTTTGTACTAGAGGTTGGACAAAGGAGAAGAGGTTCAGTGAGGCTCAGTGTTGGTCATGCACTTGGGACACAACAACCCCATGTAAAACTACAGGCTGGGGAAGGAGTGACTTGAGTGTTGTTGATCAGAAAGGGACTTGG